AGCTATATAATAATTATAATTATATCTCTTCAGTCACGAATTCGGCTTCTGCTCCCGACAGCGTTTCCAGCACTGCCTGCGTCACTGCCCAATCGACACACCCGTTTCATCCGGCGCACGGCGCGTGTGGCGATCTCCTTTCTGCCGTCTTTACAGATCTACGCATAGCCTCTGTGCGCCTTTCAGCTGCTCAGACATTATGACAGTCCCACTCATCCGGCCCTTGTTGCTTTTTAGTTTTTTATTTTAGAGTACTGAAAGGGTAGATGAAAATGAAATTAAATGCTCCGACCGCCTGATCCAAGTGCAGACTGATCACTTCTGAGGATGCGTGGGTGGGTTTTATGAGATAATGCCGCCCTACCGCCGCTTACCGGTCCGAGTTCACGACACTGTGGCGAGTTTGTCTTGACGTTTCTGGAAGTGTGTAAATTGACAACATTTTGTGACCGAAAGGGATATACATTATGCCCAAGGACCTTGTGTGCCCTCTGTTTTTTCCCCAGTCAATCGCGCTCCTTACTTGGATTGTTTTTTGTCATCTGTTAGGTTTCTGTTTATTTTTTATTTATTTTTTAGCTTGTATTTATATTTTAGTTGTTTTTAGCTATATACGAAGGACTTTCATGAGATGATATCCCTACATTTTAGAGAAATGATTTTTCCATAATTGAGGAGTCGAAAGCCTTTATCTGCACAATCCCCATACTCAATACATATAGCGCTCACATAAAGCTCAGGTAGTTTACTATTGATTTTTTGTCTGTCGCAGTTGAATTATGCAGATCTGGTGATCACCTCCAGCTCCAATCCAGCCCCTCCATTGTCTGATGGATCCACTTACGCCGTTATTAACCAAAAAAATGACTAAAAAGTGTCTGACTGACAAAGCTATTAGCTGTGTATTATTGTGTATATAGTATCGTTTATGCTTAAGAGTAGGTTTTGTTTATAAACAAAGTGTGTTATTTTACATGTACATGCCATGTACAGAATTGATTGCTATGGGCCTGCTCTCAGTAAATGGGGGGTTGCGATCTCAAGTACAGTGGGTCCCGGTTAATATCATATCCGCGGTGCATCCAAAAAATATGATAATAATTATGCGGGATATTCTATAATGCGGGCGCGTATACTGTGTATACTCCGGGTGTGTATACTGTGTATATTGTGAACTAGATAGCGCACAATGCGTTGGTGTAGCTAAGCTATGAGAGAGGCCGAGGCCTAGCTGTTTACATAGCTAATGAAGGCAGGTGGAGATGAGAGTGGCAAACTCAGCGCCAGAGTTGTACATTGCCTAATTACGCATGCGCAATGAATGACAAATGCGGGCGCAAAAACCAATTGCTCAATCTTTTCTGATGATATAGCGGGATATGACATCCGTATTCTCTGTATTCTATAAAACGGAGTAAATATGTATGGAAAGCATAGCAAAAGTTTTTGATTTCAGTTTGTGACGATTACAAACGGGATATTCTATACAACTCTCTTGGCCCGGCGGCATATATATATGCGGGCGCGCGCATAAGCCCTCTCCGCGAAGGCATAATATATGCCCGTTTTGTCAGGAGCGCGAGCGCTCCACATTACCGACTATTTCTCTCGCATACTCACATCTTTCTGTCTTCATGATATCTCGTCTGCCAACGGACGACACACCCCTTGCATTACCTCATCGTTTTTCACCTTAAAACGCGCGCGAGCGCAAAGTGGGCGGCTGCTTTACAGCTGCTCTGATATTCATTAGTGTGCGCAAAGACAGACCGGATACGCATCACTATGCATATCAGCAGCTGTAAAAAGCAGCCGCCCACTTTTAGCGTGAAAAACGAGTAGCTAGCTGGCTCTCGACTACGAACCAGCCCTCCCCCGTTTTCCTGCGAAGTCTTCTCATATCTAGCCGCCTCCCCTGTGCTCAGGGAGCAATGGCTACTAACTAGAGCAACTCTGCTCAGTGGATGAGGTCTTGATGATTAGGAGGAAATGCAGAGTATGATGAAGTGATAGGAGGATGACTTTGACGGCTATGTAGACACGAGAGAGAGAACAGAAGAAGTCCAGCCAGAAAGAGGAGAGAGCAGATGGAGGACAGAGTGGATGTTGTGGGCTAGATGTAGAGGTGGGCGTTGTTCCCAGAGCAGCAGTGATGATGTGCGACACACTCCCCGAAGTACACACTCCAGCCTGGTTGTGCAGTTCCTGGGGAAGAAGCAGACCAATCCACGACTTTCGCTGCTTGTCACAGAAGACATGCTGCAGAACACAGTCACCAGACAACAAACCTCACTGCACAACAGCCCCAGACGATACCCGCCAGAACACCGACCTATCCCTCCTCACTCACCAGAGCACGTGCGTCGCGGTCAAGAGTGTGTTTGACGTCCATGAGATGGTGAAAACTTCTTCGCCATCATCATTCTCATGGCCTTGTGAGGTACCCTCAAATCGAGAGCCACTGGCAGTCCGTCTGCCATTCACCAATACTCACTGTTCCAGTGTAAGTGCAGCACACACCCTAGAGTATGGCTATAATGTGAAACTTCAAGTTATGTCTCAATCCACCACAGATCATGAGAGAGACCGGTTCACCCTAATCTTCGCTTCCTCCATCTCAACGACAACGAAACTACAAGAAAAAGGGGAGAACCTGGTCATGAGCCACGCTTCAAGCTCCCTGCCCTTTCGCTTCAGCCCCTCATTGCCCACTTCCCGACGTGCTACCTGGCTCGGCGAAAGAGTATTCTGTCGACCGACGAAACCAGTGATAGGCGTTCAGGGAAGGCTCATCTTCATCAGTACATGCCTAAGAAGCCAACAAGTGGGGTTTGAGGCCTACGTACTAGTTCCGATCTACCACAGGCTACATGTACAATCTGGATTCTATACACCGGTCAACCTAGTAATACAGACACAAACCATTGTAAAAATAATGACTGTATTACCTTTCAGGATCTCTAGAAGGATGACGCACATTGACGAGCCTCTGGGATGCCCGCCGCAGTAGTATGCGTTCTAGGAGAGCCCATCAGCGACTCGGTCACCACATCTACATGGACAACTATTACACGTACTCCGACACATTTCTCGCGCTCGGTTCACTTGGATTCGGAGCATGTGGACACTCTGCGACTGACTCGACGTGGAGTTCTGCAGAGGCGAAGACGAGGTTGGAGAAAGGAAGAGAGCGTCGTGTTCCTGGTTAGATGAGGGGGACAAACGTGCGGGTACAGAGAATTGACAAGCGTGTTGTGTCCGGCCTGTCCACAATTCATGACGACACACCTGTGCCAGTAGAGCGACGTCACAAGAGCTCATGGTGGGAGGGAAAACAGTCGAGAAGCCCCCGGCAGTGGTGGAGTACAATAAGTAAATGGGTGGTGGTCGTGTGGTGATTCAGATTGCTCACCTAATACGACGACCCCATCGCACTGCAAGTGGTGGAAGCGCGCATTCTTCGTTTTGTCGATGCCGCAGTGGGCAACAGCTAAACGTTGTTACCGTCAGAAAAACAACAAGATGGTCGCATGACCCAAGAGCAGTTCCAATGAACTAGCCAAAGACCTCCTTGCTGCCAACAGCCCCACCAATCCTTCCCACTTCTACCTCTTCCTCTCACGTGGACACGTCAAGGAAGTACGCCATCACAATCCCGTCTCCAGGAACGACATTTTCCTGGTCAGCTCTGGAAGTCGCGAGTGAACAGATGCAGCAGAGGCTGCACTGTGTGCATCAAACCGAAAGGGCAGAGGGAGAAAGACGACGACGTTGTGCTTGCGCAAACAATGCCAGCTCCCGATGTGTTTGGTGCCATGCCTTGAACTCTACCACACCAAACAGACCCACAGCGTTACCTGTAGTCCCCCAGCATTACCTAGGGTTACATGTTGAAGTATGTGCACCACAAAACACTATTATCATGATAATATTGATATACCGCTTGAAGTGGGGCGTGTCTCCAGGCTTTGAATCAGTCCTCACGACTCTTTGGCAGGTAGGCTTGTCACAGAATCGTTAGAGAAGGCTGAGCGGCATGTGGAGCGCCTACTTGAGTATTACACGTGTTCCAAAGACGGTTCAGTGCGAAGAACCCGCACGCGTGTATGCGCGAGCGGACACCCCGCGGCGGCACGCGTAATAATTACGTAACCGCGCGCGCGCCAAAAGAGGTATAATATTAAGTGGGACCCACTGTATACGTAAGTCATACACAAATTCCCTGATTATCCAATATCCTGATTAACGTGGTTGATCGAGATATATTGACATTGCCTGAGTCATGGCATCACAGGGAACCGACTGCTGCCAATGCCTTTTGGTGTTGTATTCAGATGAATAATCCACCCACTATACGAGGCAGCAGCTTGTTGCTCAAAACACGAGAAAGTTTCTATGATTGCAAGTTGCAGGTCTCTTGCACTGGTTTTTCAGCATAGGAAATAATGTTCTGTTTCTGAAAGTTTGTTGTTGCAAGTTGCCTTGTGTATATTATACGATGGACTTTAGAAAACTCTCCTCAAATTATATAAGAGTAATGACACATTGACTAAGAAGACTGAGGCTGTACAATAATAACGGTAGCAGAAACGTTAGTAGTTCCATCTCAATCCATTTTTGTTTTCATTTTTCTACACATTCATGTCAGGGTGTAATTGGCAGTGAATCTGATGCTGTCACTATGCAAACTATGAATACACGTGAAACTGCTGCAGTTTCTTACTTTTTTACAAAATGCCTTCTATAATACCACAAGTATATAGCTGTTTTTCAAGAGCTGTGCATAAATTAATATGAGTATTCTAACTTTGAATTTCAGCAGATATGGAGGTGGTTGTGGAGCTGAGTAATGGACCCATCATCTGTCCTAATGTGACAGTTGCTGACACCAGCTGTACTGTGACACTCCCCAGAGATGTGTACAACATCTCTATCACTCAGTCCAATGACATTGGCTCTACTGCGGACAGTGCAAGTTTTGATAGTGAGTGTGCTCTATGATATCCCCTTAGTGGCAGTGCTAGTTGTATCAGAGCAAATTTCCTTCATACTAAACACCCAATTGTTGTTTATTGTCACTGTGAGAAGAAACTGACTGTGTCCAGAGACTAAGTCTCCTGTTCTGGTAACATTTGGAACCAGAGCACTGACTGGAGGAGAGTGTGAGATCTTCTGGAGACTCTGCCTCTTTCTATGGTGATGCTGCGCCTATCACCATAGGCCCTGATGAGACAATCTGCTTTATAGTCAGCCTTGATGGAGTGCCTGGTACGTTACACAATGAGAAGTGTGTATTTGAGATTCAATGCTTTTTTCCCACAGTGATATTTGGCACTAGTTCAAGGAATTCCTCTACAGTCATCACTATTAGTGGAATAAGCGATGAAAGTGTATTGTTGCAGTTGATGTTGTTGCAGGTATTGCAGTGGCTTTCGCTCTGCTGGTGGTTCTGCCAGTGGGTGTTGTTTTTGGCTGCTGTGGGATGTGATGTCTGGTGAAGTCTCGAGGTAGAAAGAAAAGAAGAATGGCTCCACCACTGTACGAGGAGCCAGTAAAACCTGTTTTTTCTCTGACTGAGAACAAAGCATATGGACAGGTTGCACATCGACAGACGACCAGCTGAATGTAACTTGCAACGGGAGCTGGAAAATTCAGTAGCTAATTAAGTCAGCTGTGTCAATCATTCGTTGTTTTTTTACATATTATACTTAGCAATGACTTTTGATTGACTAATGTGCATGGTCACGAAATGCTCATTATGCAGCCTTTGCTAGGCTAAAGCCACTTTTAAAGTTGCGCATGCGCTGATGTTGTGCTCACACTAAGTAGGTCGCTATGAGGTAATGAGTCGGCGAGCGAGTGGTCCCTGCGCGAAATGGCATACCGCCGAGTGTTTCATATCTTTTTCTCGCTATAACACGGGCATGTTCGACTGCTAAGCACATTTTTGTAGTTAGTCCTGGTTTGCCAGCACCGAGGGGTCCCCTCGGCCAGCACAAAGAGCTGTGACTGTTAGATGGATGATTCGTGAATTTCAGAGATTAAGATTAATAAAATACTGGAATTATAATCATTCAATACTACTACAATTCTTACAGAACCATTTTTTGTTCGTGTAGAAATACATTTTGTGGGGTAGCTACCATTCACCACATCCACCATTACACTCTAGCTACCATTTTCTCTCCATTGTAGATAGAACGGCAGTAGCAGTAAACCTTGACTGTTATTGTTTTCGCACATGTAGACTTCGATGTAGACATCCTTCTCTCCTTAGCAACAGGGAAAGGTTCCAGTTTTTCTGTTCAAGGCACTTTATTAGATGATTACGCATAAGACCCTGGTCAAACATATAAAAGGATGGATCGAGCCTGCTGGCAATGTGTGCTATGTATGCGATAGCATACAGTCCACAATCCGAAGCCCCTGACTGCTTCGTCACACTTGCTACTTTTCTTACTTTCCCATTTCCTCTAACTGAGAGATTTATCAAACATTCATTTGTAATTCCTGACTTTTGCCATGTCTGGTGGGTTCTATGGCCTTCTGACCAAGCAGCAGGCGCATAATTGAACATGGTACTCCAGTCCTGGCTTCCATCTGTGATAATATCTCATTTGTTTTTTAAGACAGTGAGAGGTCAGTGAGGAGATGAAGTTCTCCATGATTTCCTCTCACAAAGACAGTGATAGCATTAGCTTTAGTCCCATCAGTAACCCTGGATTGAGTTTGTTAATGATTATTTCAAGCGAGATTTCAAGCATTATTTTTTGACTACCATTTGCAAGATGTAGCTACAATCTGGGATAATGACTCTTGGTGTAGCTGGAAGGGAGCATGGAGTCAGAAGTTCAACTACTCCAGAGCAGCTAGCATACACAATCTTGAAAACCAGATCCAGTGATAGAAGCGTAAACAACACACCGAGACCAGACATCAGGACCATATGAACAATGAAGGCTGGAGTAAACAGCATGTTCGTTAGCTGCTCTCGCCGTGTACGCTCAAAGGACCTCTCGTCGAGCCTCTCATATATAGCACGAGTTCGCTGTTGGTACCCTGCAGTCCTGTCATCTCAGGGCGTTCCGAAGAACGGAACAGAGGAGGCCATGGAGCAGGAGATGAAATCGGGAACGATACGAATGCCGTCGCTGCTTTACTACGGCGAGGAGCCATTTTCATGAAACGCTCGCACAAACGTGACCTCGAACGTGACCTTGAACTGCAGCAGGGTGTAAATGAGGTGCATGTTGCAAAACTTCAGCCATCGCCTCGCCACCTCGGTCTCGGCGAGAATTGACATGTGCGCATGCGCATATTATGGTACTTACCGCGCATGCGCAGTGTTATACACTTTAGAACACGCCCCTCTTCACACCTTCAACGCGAGATTGCCGGTAAAAATTTCGAGATTTCCGTGAAGATTTGGGGATTTCACGGAAGATTTCCAAGATTTCGGGATTTCTTAGATTTCACGCGAGATTTTTCAAGATTTATTCAGAGATTTCCGGTAAAGCGTACGAGATTTCTGCAAGTGGCGGACCTGACAGGCCCGCAGAGGAACTCTCAGCCTCCAGTGCCTTCTGTAAGTAAGAGTGCATATTTCAACTGGCTTGCTAGCTGTTGATTTGCACGAGGAGCAACTTGGCAGAGTCTGCGGGTCTATAAATCTGTGTTACGCGCGCCTTGCGGGGCGCTGTCCCCCCAGGTTGTAGCCTGATTAGCAAAGCCTGCCCATGAAACCACCATGTGCAATAACCTAATTACATCCAAGTTGAAGGCGGTGAATGCGGTTATAATATATCTAGCCCCTGATTCAGGCACTAACAGCCCATTCAACAGTAAGAGTTTGTCTATGGTAGGTATCTATATACAACATACCCATGAACATAAGAGTGACTGTAACAATAAAATGCAGTGTTGCCATAAGCTGTTAAAAATAGTGGAAACAAGTGAAAAAATCTTTTCTTCAAAATGAAGGGGGATATAGGGATGGCTTGAAGCACCAAAAAGGAAGAAACAAGGAGTCATTACACAGCAAAGATGCACAAGGCTACGTGACACCATCCCTATAGCTATCTTTGTTTTATTGCAAAGTGCAATATCCAACAAAGATATAGGGATGGTGTCATGTAGCTTTATGCATCTTTGCTGTGTATTGACCCCTTGTTTCTTCCTTTTTGGTGCTTCAAGCCATCCCTATATCCCCCTTCATTTTGAAGAAATGATTTTTCCACTTGTAGAAAAATCCGCTTGAACGAACGACTAGGTTGGCTCAATCCCGCTCGCCAATAAGGATGACAATTGAGGAATTGTGCCATAGACAGTTTATGCTATGCACTACGCATGGCGCAGTTAAAAAGCCAGTGTAGAGCACCTTCTTGCTTTTATGCACTCAAGAGATCAGCAGGTATATCAGTTCCTTCATTCACTGTAGATATTCCAGATCAAGACAAAGTCAATATCCTTTTCAACAAAGCTCTAAGAAGAACGTAAGTTAATTGGCGAGTGAAGCGAGCCCACCTAGTCGTCTGAATGCGTCCAATCCGTAGCGGTCAACCGACTACGTAATTCAGTCGCAAAATTTCTAACTGCTCGCACTCACTCGCCGAACATTCCTCTAGTATCATTTACGCCTCCAAGATGTGAAACTATTTATAGCAGGAAAGCTAGGACAAGGAAACTCTCTTCCATTTCCTTGTTGTGTATTAGTTGCACATCAACATGTTTGTTGCCTGTTGCCTGTTTGTTGTTCTAGCTAAAAGAAGGCCTGCCCATAAAGGGGGGTGCCCTTGATGAGGAAAGAGTAAACACTTATAGGAAATTCATTGGCTGCCTTTACGGCTGGTTCGGCAGAACATATTCATAACAGTGACGCATACAATGGATATTCAATAGCGGGGCCAAACTTACTAGCAGTGCCAGAGCTAACATGAAGACTCTATCTGTAAGTGCCTAAGACTAAACAGTACGAAGCGCGACATACTGACCTCAGTGAAGGGACGAGGTTATTAGATCGAAGCGTTTTAGCTCCCCTAGGAGATTATTGGCCTGCGGCGCACTGCGTATATAGCTAGTCGTGAAGTATAATATAGCTAGTTATTTTTAGTCTCATGATCTCACATCTCCTCTGTACGTGAGTAAGTAATATTGCGGTGATGTGATTAGCTACCATAATTTTTGTTCTTCAGATGCAATGTGTCTTCGTTTTATTGGGTCTCTGTCAAATGATTGTTTCAGGTAAGAGTTCGAAATTTTTATCTGCATTAGCTACTTGTCACAGTCTTCACCTGTTCAACACACTGTAAGGGGGTCATAGGGGCACTGGAAGAATAGTCTCTAAGCTTGTACTTACTGACTGTCCTCATTGACAGCGAGTGTGGCACATGCCATTGTAGGACTGCATGCAAGCTAGGCAAGAGTAGCACCAAGGACTTTCAGGGAAAAATGTTTATTCATTATTCATGGTTTAATTGCGCGCATGCGCAATGAAGTTGTGCAATGTCAGAGTGTTTCATCGCGGCCACAGAGCAATACGGCGATGCCCAGAGCGAAAGATACTCTCTGGAGGAGATGTCCGCTCTTGGTTGATGTAACCTAGTGCTAACTGGTGAAGATGCTATCCCGTCATCGAACTCCAATAGAGAGGCGCCTTAGAGCGCTGAAGGATCGTTCACACGAGCAGGATCCAACACGCGCTCGTATGCTAGCGCTAGGCCACGTGGTAGCCGGAGACAGCGTCTTGCTTCTCAGACGGCCGGGGAGAGAGAGACGCCTGTCGCAACGTCGGGCGCGGGAGAGGGCATGTCGTGAAGCACGATTATCTCACAAGATCGTGACACACGCCTACAACAGGTGAGAGTCGCTGACCGCCGGAGACAAGCGCTAGAAACTCTGTCACAGAGAAGCACCCTACACGCCTCAGCATCCGCCTCTCTTGAGCACAGCTAGCTAAACTTATCACTGGCGGGTGCATGACACTTCTTGTACATGTAAGTAGAGTAGCTCATCAATTATCGGACACCATCACCCCGACACAGCCATTTCTCTCGGACCAGACAGAATTAGCTATCCTCGCTACGTTCAGTACCTCAGAGGGTGTCACTCAACAGGCATGCACAGTATATACCAGCTTCGGCAGAGGGATAGTAACGCTACGGCGGCACAAAGATCGCTCACCGTCCGAACCACCATCAGTCGGAATATGGCCCCTTGTTCGGACAGTGCTTGATTGCAAAGCTAAAGAGACAACGGAGACAACGGAGACAACGTTATGTACCGAGAAAACCTCCACACTATAATACTACAGCTGAACACCCCAGTACTGCGTCGTACAGCTAGCTGTGCGCAAAACCGCCGCACAATTATGCACAAAGACTCCGCCCACGTGCTTCAAACGATTGCACAGGCGCATTTGAGGCAAAATAACGCGGATACTAGTTCCCTAAAGGGAAGAACTTACGGCATGTAACTCGCCTTGCCCTTGCAGTGAGTTGTAGGTAGACAAGACATTGCGGTCCGATAATTCGAAGGTGTCCGATAAAGAGTGGTGTCCGGTGATTGATGCAGTACTCTACTGATCTAAGGATTATTGAATAATGAGTCAGACGTAGGCTACTACATGTAATAATAAATCTTAATTTGGGGGCTGTTTATTTTTCTAAGTCTGGAGCCTGTTAGCTACATGTCTCTTTTTCTAAGCTTTTGGGCTGCTGTGTACTCATGTACGTTATTTGCTGAGCATGAGAGTTGGGGTGCCAGGCTGAGGCGTGTAGGGAGAGTTGACGTCATAAAAGATCTTTAACCCACCGCCCCGGTTCTCAAGGATGAGTATCTGGTGTCCCTCTCTCATGTACATTTGTACAGTTTGTGTGTGTGTGTGTATATGTTATCATGTGCTTTGTTGTGTGTGTTTCCGTGTGTGGATTGGGGGATTTGGTCATGATGGTTCTTTCTTTCTTTCTTTCTTTCTTACTCTTTATAGCTAGTTTGCTATACACTTATAATGTCATGCTGTTTGTAACATCTGGACATGCTATGACATTAAAGTTATGGATAACACGAAGGTTGTTTTACGTTGCTTTACAATTCTGCATTTCCTATTATACATTCATTAGCTGCAACACTGGATGTTTCTGTGGTCAGGATCAAACCAGATCCTCTGCAGGATGAGTTTCCTTGTCCACAGCAGATGATGGAGTTCAGGTGCCAGATATTGGTACCATCATTTGCAATACAATGGACTGTACCAACCGGTGACCATCTGGATTTTGGTCAAACAGATAACATTGGGACTTTTTACGTTTCATCTGATAATGCATACAACGCTACTCTAACAGACAGGACAGGGGATCCCAATAGCAACAATAGGTTCTTCTTCACATCAACTCTACTGGTGTTGGTGCCAGTAAATGAGTCAAACCTGACTTGTGTGGGAGTCACTGGAGCCGATCCAGTCAAAGAGAGCACTTCAATCATTCTCAGTGGTAAGAATTGTTGCAACTGATTTCTCCAACGTACAACTTGGCGTAACCCCAGTTGTTTGCCTAAGGCTAAGGCCAGAGGTCAAATCTCACCTGAATCATGTACTACAAAGCATCCAAATGTGGCATTCTAAGAGCTACTTTACTGATTTAAGGCTCGATCGAATACAGGATCAACTTCCTCCACATGCACATGAAGCAGAACACCTGGTTCACATACTTATAGTTGTTTTAATACCCCTCTATTAGGTACCCCAGACCCTCCCAAAAATCTGGGTTACAACGATAGAGTTGTGATAGAGAGTTCAGTGGATCTCCAGTGGACCAGACCTTCCTATACTGGGGGAGTGGCTGTAGTCAACTACAGAGTCAGCAGTACCAGTGGTGTCACAGTGACGGTGAAAGACACCAGCGAGGACGTGAAGTATTCTCCTGGTCTTGTCTATGGAGAGGTTCAGGTCCTAGCTATCAATACGTGTGGTCTGGAAAGCCAGCCAGCAGTTATCAACATACCTGCTAAAGGTGATTGTACTGCAAGTGGCAAAATGCCATTGTTAACCCTCGGCGGCGCGCATGCGCAGCGAGGGTTACCGTAGTCGTTCTGTGTGTCTGTCTGTCTGTCTGTCTGTCTGTTACCACGTTTTCTGCCACCACGCGCAACAAACAGGCCAAAAAACGACACCAACGGGTTCTGTGTGTCTGTCTGTCTGTCTGTCTGTACCACGTTTTCTGCCACCACTCGCAACAAACAGGCCAAAAAGCGACACCAACGGGTTCAGCGCTACACTGGCTTCATTTAAAACTGGCGATGTTCGTAAAAGTACCGCGTTCAAAAGTTATGGCGTGAAAACCAAGTGAAAAAGCCAATTGCAAATTAGCACGGGCTTACCTCGACAAGATGTGCTTGCTCTGCATACCTTGGAGGCACAAGACCTCAAAACGAAGGGCGTGTATCGACTCCCGCATGCTATCTACTACTGTAGCTAGCCCGTGTCAGACTCTCCGCGTGCTAATACTAGCGGGAGACCACGAGTAAACGCATACTACGGCCCAGCCCATCAATTAGCGGGATAGCGCAAGCGCAGTTCGCCGAGGGTTTGCACTTTAGTTATAAAAGCAAAGAGAAATTCTGTAAATAGCAAGTCACACCCTTCCATGGAAAGTAGACATAAGGGTTTAATCCCGGCACAAATGCATGGAAAGGTTTTGGATTTATGGTAGCTAATGGGAGGAATTTATAAAATTTCTGCCGCGGACCTTGCAACAAAACATGCTATATTTTTCGGGTGAGCGATTTTAGAGAAATTTATTAACTTCACACCCCATAGCTATGCTAGTACTATTCTTTTTGCATGTCATAGCACGAGATACAAGATTAAGAAGTGCAGACCATCTGACAGGCTATAAACCAAGGACCGTAGCCCTCACTGTGCATGCACACCAAGGGTTAATTAAATCTCAGTGATGCAGTTAATAAGTGATAACAGATGATGCAGATGCACAGTCACTTGGTAACACTGCATAAACAGCGCTTTTTTCTCCCCTCCCTGCACATGTGAATTGTGGTGCCAGAGTTGGGCATACTTTTTATTCACTGTGGTGTTTTAACAGGCAAACAAGTCAACTACACCCAGGACAGCTCTCTTTCCTTGAAAAGAAAGAGCTGTCCTGGGTGTAGTTGACTTGTTTGTTTTGCCCTGCCATTCTACCTCATTACCTCATTGTTGAGACATGCGCATATGTACACTCTTTTAGCACCCCCACTACCTAACATTGCGGTTCAGTTCACCTGTGAATCCTTGCCATGGACAATTGAGTTGACAGTGAGGATGCTTGTAGCTCTTAGGTCGTTGTTAGCAGTTATCATTGCGTGTGTCTATATTATTATGGCTGTAGTATGAAATGGAGGAAGGAGTGGTCTATCCTAATATGGATTTCATTCTGAGTCTCACTCCCACTGATGAGACTGCCAGTAGTCACATGTTCTCCTCCGGAGATCCTGCCTGTTCTGATGTCACCTCTTATAGCACCTACTGCAATGTGAATGTCCCCAGAGATGTCTACATAATCTCTGTTAATCTCACTAATGATCTTGGTTCAGCTATAAACAGCAGCACATTTGACAGTGAGTTGTGTTTTATAGCTAGCTATCTGGGTGTGGAAAAGCCAATCACTACATGCCAATTGCTTCTATAGCACGGCCTGTTATTGTGGAAAAGGATTTGATGCTGACTACTCAGTTGCTGTTGATTGTGACTGTGAGAAAAAACGCACTGTGTCCAGAGACTAAGTCTCCAGTTCTGGTAACATTTGGAACCAGAGCAGTGACTGGAGGAGAGTGTGAGATCCAGCAGAAAGCAACCGAAATGATCATCTCTTCTGGAAACTCTGCCTCCTTCTGTGTGGATGCTGCGTCTATCACCTTAGGCCCTGATGAGACCATCTGCTTTATAATCAGCCTTGATGGAGTGCCTTGTATGTTACACGGAATGATAAGTGTGTATTTGAGATTTTACTTTTTCTATATACAGTTATATATGGCACTGGCAATGCCTCTACAGCCATCACTACTAGTTGTAGTAGTGATGAAAATGGCCTCTCGGTTGATGCTGTTGCTGGTATTGCAGTAACACTCACTCTGCTGGTGGTCCTGCCAGTGGGTGTGGTTTTTGGCTGCTGTGGGATGTGGTGTCTGATGAAGGCTCAAGGTAGAAAGAAGAGAAGAATGGCTCCACCACTGTACGAGGAGCCAGTAAAACCTGTTTTTTCTCTGACTGAGAACCAAGCATATGGACAGGTTGCACGTCGACAGACGACCAGCTGAATGTAACTTGCAACGGGAGCTGTAGCTAATAATTATAAGTTAGCTGTGTGAATCGTTCATGTTTTTTTACATATTACTTAGCAATGACTT